TGAGAGAACTCGATCAATATTCTAAATTTTTTCATTTCTCTGGAAAATCGTAAAATTAAAGTTCACTTTCATAGCAAGAAGTCGATCACGTTTGTTCACGCAAAATCCGCTATCGTAGTTGGAGAACGCAATAATCCTTCCTTTTCACAAATGAATTTGAATTGAACGTAAAAGGAAATCGAAACTCAAAAGATCAACAAATCTTCACAACCTATTGAAGTATCTTCACTACGTTCACTGACACTTGACACAAAAAAAAATAAGAAAAAAAGTACATGGAAAGTGTCGAAAAAATTTATCTACCTAAAATTCATTTTGTCTTGAACGATGTTCAGTTTGAGGAAAACATATCAAGAAACCTTATAACCAGTAAATAAGCATTCTGAATCATTACCCGAGCGACAAATGAGCCGGTTTAATACAAGTTGACGCCCTATGAGGTGGAAACCAAATGATGTCTTGAAAAGTTAAAGCTATAAGTTTGAAAGTAGAAGTTTCAACGCACTTCCGGAAACACACAGAAGCGTATAATCCTGCCAAAATCCGATATGAGGTGACTGGACATTTATCGATACCGTTCAAGGCTTTCAGTGAGAGCCTAAAAAATGCTAGAATTAATAGAAAAATCCATGATTTGGAAAGTAAGCTCACAGACGATACTCAGACAGTTCAAGCTTTCCCAGACCAAACTTTTCATTTCCATACGCATACCTATCATAAGAAAATTCTGGTACTCAAACCCGGAAACTAATGATCCCACGGCACAAGCTTTACTCCTATACCAAGAGGAAAGAGACCTGGAAACTGTTGAGGTTTCGTAATAAAACAATATCAATTTCATACAGATTTCTAAAAGTTAACTTTGGGAAAAAGCATAGTTCCCGAATTTACATAAACTCGAAAAAAAAATACAATTAAAAACTCGAATTTCTCGTCAGAGAACATTGACGGCAGGCGACAAATGATAACACTTCAAGAAGTGACAATTCGTCATAATGCTTAAATAGGCTACGCAATTTTTTTTTGAAAAATTAATTTCAAAAAGCACAGCAACCAAACGTCCGTCTTTGGCGGCCGCGAAACTCAGTATGGATCATTTTACGGAACTCCTAGGGAAAGAATCCTGATTAAGTTTCATTGCGACGAATGATCACTTCTCTAACTGCGACGTGTCCAAAATTCTAGATTAAAGGCTTACTTTTGAAGAGTCTTAGTTCAAAAAAAAGTAGTCCATCGCGAGAAAGGGGAAAGGGTGACCTCTACCTCTCTTAATTCAGGAAAAGAAAGCAACATTAACCAAAGTCTGAGGAAAAATTTATAATACTTCCCTTTCCGACAAGCGAACCCTGAAAATGTTCGCATTGTCAGCTATTTAAACTAAATTTATGCTTTAAATTTGCTTTAAAAAAATATTTATCATGAGAAACTACCTTACCTTTCTGTATTATTTCCCATAATATACCTACTTTATCCAAATAAAGTATAAACTCAACCGGCAAAGTTTTTTACGATTTCGTCTATTAGGAGGAAGTTTTTAGGATAGAAACGCACTTACCTTTCTGTTGTCAGCCGTACCCGAATATTAAAATATGTAGACAACTTACCCTAACGATGTTTGCAAAGAACCAAATGATAGACAATGATCTTTCAGTAAAGTACGCCTCAAGTACGGCTTTTGTTTACTTATTTGATTCAGTATTGTTTGCCAAGATCTTTGTCCTGTTCAGGAAAATTGGCGCAAAATAACTTTCCCGGCTAAGCGTGGAGAACAATTAAGGCACCCAGAATATATTTAACTGAATACTGATACCATACTAGAAGGGAACAGAGAAAGCACGTACTTACCAGTTTATAAACAAATTCACAACACTTACACTGCAAAATGGCAGAATATACCCCGCGGTTGACCAGTGCCGCCGTGGGCTAAATATAACTACAGGCTGATCTTTAAAATGTACAAGGACTCTTTGTAGATCTAATCTTTAACTCAAACTTGTAGATTTCATCAACTTCACCACAAAACTTGGAACAAAATAAAAATAACTATTGGAACCCAGATGTATATTTTTTCACAAAGAAATTATAATTTCTATATGACAAAACCTTAAGTTTTTTGCCCACCCAACTTTAAGCCCATTGAGCTTCGCTTTAATAAAAATCCGGAAGTTTCACGAGCCAACCAGACAAGTGAGATAACATTTCAGCCAACTTACCTTCTAACCGAATATTGGTCTCAGTGGGATATAAATTTGATTCTAATGTGAACACTTTCCTCAAATTATCGATCAATTCTGACCCACCAACTATCAAGCTCTGTGTTTCGGGGAACTTATAGGTGCTTAATCTGCAAATCTAGACGTCTTAAATTTCTGAAAATACAATCTTTTTATAGCTCCTAGTTGACCCTCGGGAGAAATATTTTGTATACAGGCCTATCAAAGATACAAAATCGACTTTTATATAAAATTCCCTTTTATAGCAATTGATACAAAAAGTTTCTCCAAACTTAAACAGAATTAGATAAACACATATTTAAACTCAGAGAATTAAACCCAGTCAGGACGTCTTGAGCTTGCTACCGACAACCGCGTCGTATAAACTTCTGTATATGGTATAGCCCAAGCTTATAATACTCAACCCAAACAAATGAATTCATTTTTGTATTCCTTAGTTCCCTCGAAAGATAAGAAGCCTTACCAAGTATCAGGCACTCTGAATAATGGGAAGTACCTTCTAAAGCTAAACTGCCTTCTGTTATACACACTCCAACAAAATTTAGCAATAAAACTTAAAAACAGCATTCTTTTATACTCCGACAAAATTTAGCAATGAAACTTAAGAACGCCCATTCTACAGTTTACAGTTTCTCCCATGAAAAGCTCCACGTCACTGTTTCTTCAAACAATCCCACGAATTATTTAAAGACTTCGACCTAAACATGTACTCTTAGTGGAACCCAGTTGTGCCAACACTATTACACCGCACTGATAACAACTCATGCAAACGCATTTTCACTCTGGGATTGTTGATAAATTTTATGAGAAGTTAGGAGGGTACAATTGTAAACCGTACCAGGAGCCCTGTGCTGCTAAACATGCTCTTAATATCAACAACACATATACCATGGCTATGAAAGTGAACTAACTGGTCGAGGGAAAAACTCAGGTATTTCAGGCACAACAGAGAGCACCCAAATAACTCAGAGCTGAGTTGTTTCCACCTTAATATAAAACTTGCTAATCAGAAGAGTTTCAACAGATCAACGCTTAAGGGCTGAGGGTTTGTCGAATTGTCCAAGTATACATCTCAATTGATTTCTTATATGAGCTGCAGTGATTGAATAAAGGGGGCAGATCTATTAATTTTGCGGGACAGTGGCGTATTTGAAAATCAGCCAGTAATTAAAAATCAAAATCGAATTATAATTTCTCGTAAACAATGATACTGCCAAAAAACTTTAAGAAAACGCGTCGACCTGTTCTTCAAGTCGATTTAATTCATTTTCGAAGCTTTCCTTTAACCTATTTTGATAAAATATATGAGCCGCAGCCATATAGCGAAATTTGCTATTTGCCGTTTTGAGCACTTCTTAAAGGATCTAACTAAAAAATCACATTGTTCAGCACCTTCAAAAATAGTTCAAAATTCACTTGCGTACCGGTACCTTATCTTGTACACCCAGGTTGACCTCCATGCACAAAACGAAACGCTTCCATTGACTTTAATGAAAAAGTGTTTCTGGTATAACGTTGAGTGAAATTTAATTCATCAATTCTCATAGCAAATCTTTAAACGTAATTCACCTGTGCAATGCTTGCCACTTAAACTATGGGTTTTCTTGCAAAAGAGAGAGAAAACCTTGGTTATTGTCTTTCCGAACATAACGTAAGCCGAAGCGAAATTCTTTAATGGAGAAATGCTTGTTATACAATTTTCATTTAAAGAAAAATGGTGATCATACAACTTCCATATACGAGAAATTGCTTATCGTAGAGTTTATTTACAATTTTCCATACGTATGGAGTTGTACGAAAATGTATGATGAGCCTCTTTCCTTCATGTGGAAATTATATAACAAGCATTTTTGGTCAACCCGGATATCTAACCTCGTTTACATCGTAACTTTTTTTCCTATTCAAGTTTACTAGACTAAGTTTTAAAAAGTTTAAAAATTAAACTTGCATTCACATTAACATTTGAAAGCTTGCAAAAAAAACACAACCAATGCCCTTAAAAACATCCCTTTGGCAAATAGTTTGATCTTTTTCACGAAATATGCAACGCTCAACCATGTTATTTGAGCACCGTGGCTGAATTCGAAATAAATGATGATAAACAGTTCGTAAAAACAGTTCGTAAAAATATATAGGAAAAAAAATCGAATTGTTTTATGATGCGGTATCAAAAATGATCCTGTGCATTATTTACAAAAAGAGCTACTTATTTGAAGTTCAACATTTATTTCGACTTCAGTGCTTCAGAAAATTTCACTGGCTTTGATCATAGGAGGTCTCAATTAAAAGTAAAACTAATTAAATTAGTCAAAAAAAAATTCCAAACTTACACGTGCAATGGAAATGAATTGCAAAGGAAACGTAGAAGTCACTTAGTTCATTTTCGACATTTTTGCTTTGGGAAACCACATTGGGAAAACCACATAGCCCTTGGCACTTCTCGTATTCTTGTGCAAATAAAAACAAAGATTCACGGTCGTAAGATTATATTATCCTACTCGAGGATAACCCACACATAAATTTATATCACACACAATAATTATATGCATAGGTTAGAAAATCACAATTGATCTTCTTAATAAAAAACCCAAAACCTACACAAATCCAGAATCTCCGCCATTTTCTTGAAAACTAGGAGTGCAGAAATCGCTCCAAATAGAATTGCCCACATGTAGTAATTTTTTGAATGAACTTAATGAATGCCTTCAAAATCACCTAAAACTAGAAGTCAGAAGCATTCCTATACATTAAAATTTTACTTACAACATGCTATCGATAATTCTGCTATTTACTAAAATAGTTTACGTTCTTGGCTACATTCTCTATGAATACATTGTGAAAACTTTCCGTCTGGTTTACAAAAGACCACCTAGGCATAAATGCTTCCAAGGACAGACTGTTTTGATAACTGGTGCCGGTGGAGGTTTGGGGCGACTTATGTCCATAAAGTTCGCCCAACTAGGAGCTTATGTTATAGGGTGGGACGTAAACCACGAAGGTCTACTCAAAACCGAACAACAAGTTAACATCAATATTGAAAAAAGTTTGCATTTTATTAGCGACAGCTTTTTCCAATTTCAATGTTTTGACATTTCGGACAGGACTCTTGTGTACGAACACGCTCGTTCAATTGGAAAAGTTGACATTTTAGTAAATAACGCAGGGATACTATCTAATAATAATTTCATTTTGGACAAGAAAGACTTAGAAATCATAAAGACGTTTGATGTTAATGCTCTCGCTCATTTCTGGACTGTGAAAGCATTTCTGCCGAGAATGATGGATGAACAAAATGGTCACATAGTGACAATATCTAGCGTTGCCGGAATGATTGGTACACCTCGTCTCTCAGATTACTCGGCAAGCAAGTTTGCAACTATAGGATTTCACGAAGCTCTTGATTTGGAGCTCAGAGCACAAGGCTACGCGAACAAAATTCACACAACTTTAGTTTGTCCTTATGTCCTAAACACCGGATTGTTCATGGGCGCGACCAAAAATAGCGTGGATTTGTTCATGCCCATTTTGGAACCGGAAGTTGCAGTTGACCGAATTATCATAGCTGTTTATAACAAACAAAGCAAAGTTGTGATGCCTGTTTTTGGGTCTTTCGTCTCAGCTTTGAAACTATTGATGCCTTGGGAGTCTTGGACGAAAGGAATTGAATTGTTTGGTATCCACAGAGTTTTCGCCAACATAACCCGACGGAATCTCACCCTAGTTGTTTGAACTCAATATTATTTTCAGTATAGTTAATAGCAGGGCGCGGGAAATAAGTAACATTCACAAGTACTTTTTAATATTTTTTGGTGCCCAGAAAGTGAAAAAAAGTACGTACAAAAACCTTCAATTTTGTGTTATAAACGTATAAACTAACACTTTTGCACCTTTTTCATTTGCATTTTCTAATCACGCAGTTTCTGCTTCAAAATACTGAAAATTGTTTCAACTTTTTATTTTATCCGCGCATGAGTTTTTCATCATCAGCTTCAGTTTTTGGTTCAAAATTTTAAGGCTCTTAACATTTTTTCCGCTCTCTGGTTATTAATTTTAATCGGTAAAAATTATTATAGAATGGACAATCAGTTTAATTCGTCTGCTTTTGTTTCAACTAATTCAAACAGAGGAAATTGATATCTAAACTCAGAGGAGAATAAGATCTCCGCATCACTTGCTTATATTTTTGAGAAATTTAAACGCCCAATTTCAAGTTAAGAGTTCAGTTAATTTTGAAAATTTCAATCAAGCAATAAACTCTAAAAAAGAAAATAACAGAAGAAATAATTTATTCCTCCTGATCATATTCATAAACACCATCAATTTAAAAAAAAACATTAACTATAAATCAAATGAAGCTATCTTATGCAAAATCTGAGAAAGAAATAGGTTGACAAACAATTTAAAAGCACCCATCGAGAGCCTATCTCATCAATAATGATTATAAACATTTCAATTTTTTCAAAAACGAGAGAAGAAAAATCCAAACCAAATTTCTTAAGAGCTGAGCAGAATCACTCAGTTTACACAGTTACCGGTTTGAACTGCTACAAAACGAGACAAAAATTATTCAAAATTTTGAAAATTTGCAATAATTCAACAGCAAGACGCGAATGGCTAATCAAATGCCCACTTCAGATTGGCACTTCTAATCCACCAATTAGTAAATTTCAATCAAACAGATGAAAAAATTTTATCCATTTAAATTTTTTTACAACTCTCGGGAAAACTTCATTTCTCAAAAATTGCGAACGCTTCGAGGTTCAATTTTAAGGTCGAACACATTGATTTTCCGAGCTCTCCCAGAGCAATAAAAAGACCCTTTTTTGCCAAATTTGCTGCGCCGCAGGTCCAGTTTTTAAAAAACAGTCCAAAAAAGCGTTTTTAGGCAGTTTTAGAGAAAAATTTACAACAAAAAATCGCGTTTTTGGAGCGCGCGCTTACAACTAAAATTTATTCAAAATAGGCGCCAAAGCCGCCTGTAGGAACACTTGAGTTTTCCTCAAAAAAAATGGATATCTCAAGATAGCACAAAGGGGGACAAATTTAAGTACAAGGGGGATTATGCTTTAGCGGTATTTATCCTAAAACTGCAAGTCAGCAGAACTTTGATACTTTCAACTAGTAAGCACGTCTTCATTAATCAATCGCCTTGCAAATAGCAATGAATCCTTCAAATAATTCAAACGTATTTTAGGTAGAACCGGGGTAGAAGTATGATAGTAGTCCCAGGAAAAAATAGAATGAAAGATCGGGGAAAAGAAAAAAGAAAGGGGAAGAAAAGAAGTCAGGACTAAGTAAAGATAGCTGTTTTCATTCATATTGTTCCGCAGCTAGAATAATGACATCGCAGAATGTTCTAGAACTTTTTACTAATCTCTGCTGTTTTGATTTCTCTCCCTTTTCTAATTAAATCCACACTTATTTTGGTTGAATGGAAACGTGTTTTACATCATATGAAAGCTATTAACCTGACTAATTTACTGAACATGTTAAAAAGAGCAAGGAAAGAACTGATTTTATATTAACTAAGCAAAAACGACTCAGCTTTTTTCAGTTTTGTAACAGAAAACATAAAAACAGGCCTAAATAACTTGGTTTTCGTTCCGGTCGAGCTTAATAAAATGTATCTAAAACATATCAAATCACATCACTACGGACACTACAGAGCCAAAAGAGAGTTGAATGCCTTCTTAAAGTCTTAGTTTTTAACAATTTGATTTTTCCTTCGAATTTGAACTTTGAATTTGATCTGATCAACCGAAGCAAAAACCAAAAACGTTCACACCCCCCAGTTCTGAATGCAAGTAGATTTGCAACCCAAAATAAGCATAAAGGAAAGCAAAAAGCCTTCTCTAAACAAGAGAAAACTAAAAACTGATCTGAAAAGGTAGTAAAGCAAGTTAAATTCAAACTTCGTATCAATTCAAAATTAACAACAATGCCAAATGACGCCAAATCGAAAGAAACTTGGATCACAGATCTACGAAAATTCGCCAATGGCACGCCTTTTACAAGAGGGCAAACTCCTCGGCCCTTGACGTGGGCGGGCGCTGAAGTAGAAAAAACTAAGAACTGCGCTCTGTCCTCGGGAATCACAACTTCTCGCAATATGGAGCCAAGAAGATGCGCTTGCGGATATCACAGTCCCCGACTAAAAATGTGCCGACAGCTTCCACATCCGCTACAGGTAATAAACCCGTTCTTAGTGACTCTAAACTGAGCGAAAACTTGCGTGATCGTCTGCCAAAAGGTTCGCTTGATACCATTGATCCTATAGATCAAGAATGGATAGGAAAATCGCTTTTCACTCAAGAAAAAAAACTCGTCAGCTCGATTAATTTGTGGTGGTATCCACCTCAGCCAAGGCATCGGGGTTTCCTCTAGCCGGAATATTATTTCGGTAGACACCTTTTCCTCTGGGCACCTTACCAAATGTGGCAAGTGCAGTTCAAGTGTCCAAGGTGCCCCAAGAAATTAGCAGGAAAAGGGCTATATAACAGAGTGCGGACTGTGCTAGACCTGAAAAGCGCGTACTATTTAGCGAGTGAGTACCTTGAGTGCACCGATTGCAAAGGAACTTTCCAGACATGGGATCATCGTTTGGTTTCCCAGCTAGCAGACCATGTGGCAGCTCGTTTTCCCTGCATACTGACACATACGTTTGCATGTGACAAATCAATTGTCATTGCAATGCGAAGTCGAACACTTGGCAAATCAAATGCGAGCGTTAGGAGGAGAATTGAAGAATACCATAACGAAGGCTCCATAAAAGGACACCTACAGTATCTGGGCGACTATGAAAGCTATCGATCCCATCGAAAGGAACTTCGTTTAGACATCGCCGAGTGCCGACCACCGCCTCCTCGACAAATGGTTGCTAGTCCTAAATGGCTTCTGGCGACATACGTCCGGGATATGTATGTGAGTCTAGGTTTGAAAAGCAAACTTGCTGATGTCTACGGAGAAATCCTGAAGATGGATTCAACCAAAAAACTCGCAAAAAAGCTAAGCGGAAAATGCAAGCAATCAGCTGCTTGGGTTACTAACATTGGAAATGAACACGGACAGGTACTAATTTCAGTCTTTACTGAATCAGAATCGACGGATGGTCTTCATTAAATGGCCAAAGGGTTGACTCAGAGATACCAGAAGGCCAAAGTAGAGCAACCAAAAGTCTTGTATGTTGACCGAGGATGCTGTACATCAACCAGCATGCCAAGCTCCATCAAACAGTTGTTCTCAAATCTGCCCAATCTGGTGGTAAGAATGGACATCTACTACCATTTCATGCGGAGGATTGCAAGTGGATGTACCAGTGAAAACCACCCACTATATGGGTGCTCCATGGCGAGCTTATCATTCTCGATTTACGAGTGGAACCCGAGTGATCTGGATGCCATCTATAAAGCGAAGAAGGAAGATTTTGTACAGAATGGCGGAACAAACGCGGACAACTATGACCCGGAAAAGCATGTGACGAAACAAGAATTGGCGCGACACTGCCGACTCACTACTAGGAACTCAGAGGAAATGAAAAAGGTCATATCACAGCTACTAGAAACTTTCAAAAGCGCAAGAGACTCATTAGGTGCTCCGCTTCTACGTCCTGAAATCGATGCAATTTGGAGAGCAATAAAAAACATTGCAATTGCATTAGTGACCCTGAGAGTGTTAAGTTGTATCGGATTGTGCGAACACTACAAAAAGGCGACACGCAGCTTCCTGTCTACAGGTGTGCGAGAGGTTCAAAACTTGCTAGACTCTACTGATATAGAAAATGTTTTAAACAGCGATTCCGATTCATAAACTGTAATTTTTTCATTATTGTTTGATCTTTTGTTTAATCTTTTGTTACATGTTATGTTTCATTTTTCTTTCATCTTTTGTTTCATGTTATGTTTGATCGTTGTTTCATCTTTTGTTTCACGTTATGTTTCATCTTTTGTTTCATGTTATGTTTCATCTTTGTTTCATCTCGAGTCGTAAATGTTTCATGATATAATTCATACAATGTTTCATCTTTGTTTCATCTCGAGTGGTAATTGTTTCATGTTATGTTTCATGCAATGCTTCATCTTTCGTCTTGCAAATAGCAATGAATCCTTCAAATAATTCAAACGTATTTTAGGTAGAACCGGGGTAGAAGTATGATAGTAGTCCCAGGAAAAAATAGAATGAAAGATGGGGGAAAAGAAAAAAGAAAGGGGGAAGAAAAGAAGTCAGGACTAAATAAAGATTGCTGTTTTCATTCATATTGTTCCGCAGCTAGAATAATGACATCGCAGAATGTTCTAGAACTTTTTACTAATCTCTGCTGTTTTGATTTCTCTCCCTTTTCTAATTAAATCCACACTTATTTTGGTTGAATGGAAACGTGTTTTACATCATATGAAAGCTATTAACCTGCCTAATTTACTGAACATGTTAAAAAGAGCAAGGAAAGAACTAATTTTATATTAACTAAGCAAAAAAGACTCAGCTTTTTTCAGTTTTGTAACAAAAAACATAAAAACAGGCCTAAATAACTTGGTTTTCGTTCCGGTCGAGCTTAAAATGTATCTAAAACATATCAAATCACATCACTACGTACATTACAGAGCCAAAAGAGAGTTGAATGCCTTCTTTAAGTCTTAGTTTTTAACAATTTGATTTTTCCTTCGAATTTGAACTTTGAATTTGATCTGATCAACCGAAGCAAAAACCAAAAACGTTCACACCCCCCAGTTCTG